GTGTTTTGATGACTGAAAATCCAAATGTTAAATGGAACCATTTATTTGTCATTAAATGTATGTAGATATTCATAACTTTCACAACTTTATGGTGGTTTTTGGATATGCTGTTCCACAAGTATGTATTACATTATATTTCATGTGTTAACTAGTATTTGTACGCATATGACCTCTATTTCCTAATTAAGTTGCCTATTAAATGCTACGTGTGTGTGTGTGTGTGTATATATATATATATATATATATATATATTCTTTGCAGTAGTATCATCACTGCAAATTTGTTATTTCTGTGGGAAAAGCAAGTCTTATGGCTTGACTGGTGTGCAGATTTTTGTTTAACAGTGTATTAACTATCCACAGACTTCAGTTGGAAGGGGTTTAAAATCACAATTATTTCCCCACCCTAACCTTTATGATTTTTGCTTCACAAGCACTACCAGGCAAACCAGTAACCAACCTCATGCTGGTGATTTGCATTAACAATGAAACCGCTGTCCATGATTGGTTCACTGGATTTGTATCTTGACCTAAGTTGTGTTTCAAAGCTGTTGTATACAGCAAACACAGACTCAAATGAATCCATGTTTCAAATGGAATGAGGCAAAAATATGATTCTCTGTTAAACTAATTTGAATATACACACCAAGAATCCTTTGCTGTAGTAACATCACTGCAATTTTGTGATTTCTGTGGGAAAAGTGAGTCTTATGGCTAGACTGGTGTGCAGATTTTTTAGTTTAACATTGTATTAACTATATAAATATATATATATATATATATATATATATATATATATATATATATGTATATGTATGTATATAAACTTTCAAAGATGGTTAGCACTCATCAGGACCATGTATTATCTGTCATAAGATTTATCTCTGTTGGGATTGTTCGTATTTAATATTTTGAAATGTTTTTCTTTAGTAGACCCCTCCAGGTGGTTGTCCACCACCAGTTAGATTGTATTGTAAGTTTCAAAAAAAGTTACTTGATATATTATAAGTGATAAGGTATTCACTTTTGATTCTGTTGCTTTAGCAAATTACCTTTATTTTCATGTTTTCATCTGACTAGTATTTTTGCTAGTAAGTGTTCAATTCGTGCATAGCATGAGTTGAAGTTTGGGGTAATATTGTACTTTTGAGGATGGACATAAAATAATTCAGCATTTTAAGTTGTAATTATGTTTCTTCTACTGCGAATCGAAATTGCAGGGAGCCCTATAGTTAAATTGTTACTAGTTGTATAAATCCTACAGTATTATAGAAGTAGGAAGAGGACATCGTCCATTTCAGTCTGCTTTCCTTGCTCCTTAGGTAATCTTATCCTAATGGTTAGTATAACATCATGTTCTAGTTTCTGCCTTGATAATCTGTTTATCTTCCTGTTTTTGGAGAGAGAGGACACCCTATTCTGTATGATGTCATATTGTTTATTATTCTATCTTATATTGTTTGCCCGTACTTTAATAAAGTGCCCCTTAGTGGCACATAAAACAATTAACGGGGGGCAAACGGGGGGCCACTAAACTAAATGGGGGACTTAGTGTCTCCCCCCGGCCCTTAGATAAAACAGTGGGGGGGGGGAGGAACACCAGGGGGGCTATTAGATGTATTAGAGTCGGGAGGGGGGGTTAAAAAAAACGGATGCAACCATGACAGTGCCCCTTTAAGTGGTGTTTTTACTAGCAGAACGTACAGGCAAATGTTTTATACATATATACATAGACGTTTTAAGTTGGTGATATAGCTCAGTTGATGATGCTGT